TGAGGACTCCCTCAGTGCAGGGGAATGCTTTCATCCCCCCACCCCCACTGCAAAGCCAGGCTGCAATTACCTCCCACAGCAGACATGAGACAAGTTCCCTACCCTTGAATCCCACCCAACAAGTTTATTCCCTCACCTCTGATGTGTCAGGAATATGCCTGTCTCCATAACTGTGTTCTCATCAGTCTCCCCATCTGGAACTTCACCTCCCCATTGTCAGTCCTTCCAGCTTAGGTCACAGCCATCCAGGACCCATCCAGTCCCAGGGACCTTCCCCCCTCTGGTTCTCCTGGCACCTACCATCTATCTGTCTCTGTCACTCACTTGGCATTAGGCATGGGCTGCCTAGTATGGTAACACTTTTTTCTTTTTTTTTTAATTGTGATTTGGGTGAAAATTTACAGAGCAAATTCACTTTCCATACAGCAGTTCACATATGACATTGACCACAATTCATCACAATGCAACAGCTCCCCTCCCACTTCCTCCCGATTGTTACTTCTTCCTTGTGTCCATCCCTCCATACACTCCTGCCCCCTGAGCTGTCTCCCTGTGCATAAACAGCCCTTCTTTCTCCCATGATTGTTCTCTCCAAGGAGTGTATCTACCTCAGGTACATGTTCAACTCATATGCCTGTCTATTGTTTGGCTGGAAACCTCAGGTGTGGGTTCAATTCTAGACCTGAAGGGCAGCTAGGGGTCATAGTGGTTCCACCAGGCTCTATTGGACCAGCAAAGTATGGTAGCACTTAGTTAAGTGCTCGTTCTCTTTCCCTGATTAGATTTTTTAAAAATTATTTATGTATGTGAATAGTTAGTACACGCACATGAATCAAAGTTTAAAAAGGTATCAAAGAAATTTACAGAGAAAATAGGTCTCCTTTCCTCCCCTGTGTCCTAGGCATCTTGTTCCTCTCTTGGCAGCCAACCCTGTTAACAAATCTTTCATTACTGTTTCTTTCCAGAGATATTCTACATAAACACAAATGTGTATGTGCACATTTAATATATGCTTTGTTCCATACTTTTTAACTGAACAGTAAATCTAAGATGGTTCATATCAGTACATGTAGATATGCCTCATTCGTTTTGATGACTATATAATATTCCATTGTATAGTGTACCATCACTGATTTATCCAGCCTGCTATAGATGGATATTTAGGTTGTTTTCAATCTTGTGTTATTAAAAAGAATGCTGTCACCCTTGTATAAACTTCTTGGTATACAGTACAATCATAAATTCTTAGAATTGGAATCACTATGCATCTTTAATTAATTGAACCCACACCTCATATTGCTGTCTGTAAAAGTTATACCAAATTACTCTCCCACTGCCAATGTATGAGAATGTCTGTACTCACAGCTTTGCTCATACGATGTATTAAACTTTTTGATCTTTGTCACACAGCTTTGCTCATACAGTGTATTAAACTTTTTGATCTTTGTCAATCATCTGACAAGTGAGACAATGTACGCTGCAGCTTTTCTTTTACGATTCTCTTGTTAGGAATGAAAGCCAATATCTACTCTCCGGCTGTGCCCTTTGCCAATTTTTAAATATTGGATTATTTGTTCTATTTCTTGGAATTCTTTGTAAACAAAGGAAATTAACCCCTTTTCTGTTGTATGTGTTCAATATAGTTTCTGCCTGGTTAGCACTTGTCTATTTCCCAACTAGATTTTTGTCTCCTTGAGTACAGGGATTATGACTTCAACCTCTTTGTACTTCTATTCTTAATCATGGTAGAGGCTAGACAAATATTTGTTGAAAAGTCAGAAAAAGAAACACAGAGATTTGGAAGATTTTGGAGTGACCTGATCTAATTGACACCTTCTTTACCAAGTTGGACCTTACTTACCAAGTTGGGCCATTCAACTTTTTGTAAAAAACACAAAGTAACACTAGCAAGTTTTAAAAGATATAGAATAGCATACAGAATCAGTGCTAGGGCTGGCAAGCAGGTCTCAGCGAATAAGCAGCCACCACTGAGAAGCTGGGAAGTCAAGGTTAAGTCAAGATAGCCTGCCTAGGAGACCCTGGTCCCCTTGTTGTTGTTGTGGTTGTTGTTAACTGCCGTTGAGTCCGCCCCCGGCCCATAGCGACCCCTCCTTGGGTTTCCGAGGCAGTATCACTACGGAAGTAGATGCCCAACCTTCCTTCCGAGGAGTGGCTGGTGGGTTTGAACCGCCAGCCGTCTGGTTAGCAGGCAAGTGTCTTAGCCACTATGCTACCAGAGTTCCTTGTTGTTGTTGTTGTTATGTGCCGTTGAGTCAGCCCTGACTCATAGCGACCCCTCCTTGGGTTTCCGAGGCAGTATCACTACGGAAGTAGGATTGCCCAACCTTCCTTCCGAGGAGTGGCTGGTGGGTTTGAACCGTCAGCCTTCTGGTTAGCAGTCAAGTGCCTTAGCCACTATGCTACCAGAGTTCCTTAGTCTCTTGCAATAATCCCCATCCCTTTCCAGTACTGAAGCTGGTAGTTCCTCCTCACGACACTGGAGGGCGCTGCTGGCTCCCCTGCAGAAACATTCTCAACTGCCCAGCTTCTCTGTGACTTGCTCCAGATTCAAAATCCCAGCAGGAGTATCCAGTTGGCAGAGTTATGTCTTTTGCCTGCATCTTTATAGCCTAGAAATCTGGGAGGGCAAGAGTCAGGGCTTTGGGGCAGGTGGAGGCTCAGATTCCAGACAACTAGGAAAACTGGACAAAAGCACATCACTACCCCTTTTTCTCCTCATTAGCTCAAGCCCTGCTCTTTGGTGAAGCTTTCCTGGGCCTCCTAGGCCAAAAGCACTTTTCTGGACTCAAATAACCATTATCTACAATGGTTAAGCGGTCAGCTACTAACTGAAAGTTCGGCCGTTCGAACTCACCAGGTGGCTCTGCTGGAGGAAAGACCTAGTGACCTGTTCCCATCAAGATTTCAGCTTAGAAAACCCTATGTGTCAGTTCTGCTCTGTCCCATAGGGTCACTATGAGTCAGAATTGACTCACTGGCATACAACCACAACAATCACGATGCCAGAGAGATATGCACTAATGACACCTACCATGCACCACGTCTCATTTGATTTTCAAACAATCCTAGATGTTAACTGTATTTATGGAGGAAAATACTGAGTCCCCAGAGGTTTGCCCAAGTACACAGCTACTAAGTGGCAGTGCCAGGTTGTAAACCCAGGTCTGTTTCCAAAGCTTTGGGGTTTTCCAGGAGGCTGTAGTTATGGGCTGGTGGCTGGTCAAGTCTGAGTGCTGTGTGTGCAGGGATTGGGCCACATTCTTTATACATCCTGGTGGCATGTAGCATATGGAAGATGCTCAATTTGTACTTGTGGGCTGGTAACAAAACACAGGCATATGAGCTGAACACTTACACTAGGTAGATATACTCTTTGAAGAGATCAATCATGGGAGAATAGAAGGGCAGTGTATGCACAGGGAGACAGCTGTGGGGGGGGGCGGGCAGGAGTGCATGGGAGGGATGGACACAGGCAAGAGGTAACTATGGGGAGGAAGTGGGAAGAGAGCTGTTGCATTTGGGAAATTGCAGTCAAGGCCATGAGACAAAGTGTATGTGAACTGCTGTATGGAAAATGAATTTGCTTTGTAAAATTTCACCCAAATCACAATTAAAAAAAAAAAAAAAAACTTGTGGGCTAGACTGGATGATATCAACCAGGAGCCAGTTCTGGAAGGTTCCTTTACCCTCCCCTGAGGCTTGAACCAAAGAATAATGTTGAGGTGGAAAAGGCCTGCTCAGGATCAGTTTAGGAAGAAACACCTTGACTGTGGAGAATTCTCTTCTACTGTCGCACACATCTCCCAAATGGGTCAAAACGGTCAACAGAGGTTGTTCCTGAAGGGAGACAAAGACTTACAAATCTGTTAATGATTTAATCATTCAGGGGATATTTTTGAACCCTGCCTACTCCTCGAAGGAAGGTTGGGCTATCTACTTCCGCAGTGATACTGCCTCGGAAACCCAAGGAGGGGTCGCTATGAGTCGGATCTGAATCCATGGCAGTGAGTGACTGCCCTAATACAAGCGTGAGAAAAAAACAGAGCCAATCCTGCCCTGTGAAGTTTACATTCTAGTGGGGTAGGCGAATATTAATCAAATAATCAGGCCAGTCAACGCTACGAATTGAGCTCTGACAAGTGTAATGAAGAAGACACCATCAGATGCTTTAAAACGCAGAGCTGACCTAGTCAGGGAACTCAGGGCCGCCCCTAGAGGTGCCGGGGCTGCAGCAGGGATCTGAAGCAGGGGGCGGAGTCAGGCCCAGAGAGAGAGAGGTCCAGGAGTCCCTGAGATGGTCATTACTTCTGGGGTGAGCAACCATCAGTGACAGTATTTATAGGAAAGCAACAGAGGGACCAGGGACCGGACGGCGTGTTTTCAGGCTCTGCCTGTCTCTATGTTTTGGCGAGTGCGTCACTGCTGCACGGAGCCGGCCGCGCTCTCGCGGGTCACCTCCCCGGGTGACGTAGTCAGGGTGCCGGCCCAAAATAGCCGGCTCCGCCCCATCTCCCGGCAGCCCTTGCAGCGGCAGCAGCGCCCCCCCACCCGCCTTCTACCCCGGGTGACAGGCGGAGCTGGCCTCTCTCGTCTCTAGTAGTTTCCGTGCCGCTGACGCATGCTTGCTCGCACAGCTGGACCAGGCGCGTCCTACGCAGTTGCCGCGAGCCGGCCGCGGGTGCCAGAAGGTTCCCGGCGGGAGCTGGGGCGGGCCGCTGCAGGAGGAGGTGCGGGCCGGGGACAGCTCGGGCTGGGGGCCCTGGGCCGGGCTGCTTGACTGCGGGGGGCTCCCATAGGGCTCACCGGACCTGGGCGCCGAGACAGTTCACGGCCCCGGCCTGCAGAGGCCGATAAGGCTGCAGGAGGGAGCCTAGTCACCGGCCGTAAACAGAGCCCCATGCAGTGTCCTTGCTATCCAGGGGATCTCCAGCCCCAGGGAGGGGCTCGCGGTTCTTTCTGCCTGATTTCTCTCTTCTTGCAGCCCTAAGGAGGCCCGCCTGACTTTTGACGAGTTACCATGGCATCCTACTATGAGATCCTAGACGTGCCGCGAAGTGCGTCCCCTGATGACATCAAGAAGGCGTAAGTGCCTCTGCTGCACAGTGGACACCTCCCACCCACCCCCGCCCCCACCATGGGGCTCTTCGGAGGCAGTGCCAAGGGAACCAGGTCCTTGCAAAGGACTGGGAACCCCTAGGAGAGTGGGACTCAGGGAGGAAGAGTAGAAGCATAAAGTTCACAGAGCAGAGTTCTGACGGGAGCTTCACTGTGGGTCCTTCTCTGGTGGACCCTCCCTTTCCCTCTTCTCCTTTCCTCTTCCACCCTGAACTCTATCTAGATGTGGGCTGTCTTGGGTTGCAGTGCAAAGATAACCCAACTCTGTGACAAGGAGAGACCGGTGTCCCTGTGTCATCATGGCCACATGTGTCCCCAACCTGAGGCTTTGCAGCCCCAGGGAGCCCCAGGGTGGGTTTGTTGTTGTTGTTGTTATGTGCCATGGAGTCCACCCGACTCATAGTTACCCCTCCTTGGGTTTCGGAGGCAGTATCACTACGGCAGTAGATTGCCCCATCTTCCTTCCGAGGAGTGGCTGGTGGGTTTGAACCGCCAGCTTTCTGGTTAGCAGTCAAGTACCTTAGGCACTAAGCTACCAGAGCTCCCGGGGTTTAGGGCCTTGCTAACAACTAATGCAGGTATTCGTTCAGACAGGAGAGAAAGGGATCTAAAACACCTAGCAACAGAGGTAGCCTTAGCAGCTGGGGTGGATGGAGACCTAAGTGGTAACAAAAAGATGACAAGGTAACGGGAAGATGGGTCTTCAGGAAGTGCCTGAGCTTCCTCTCTGAATCCCCTTCCTGCAGGTACCGGCGGAAGGCTCTCCAGTGGCATCCAGACAAGAACCCGGATAATAAAGAATTTGCTGAGAAGAAGTTTAAGGAGGTGGCCGAGGCATATGAAGTGCTGTCTGACAGTAAGGGTGGGGGTCCGGGCTGGACCCAGCACATCACACCCACTTGGGGCTCCATCTCACTCCTTCCCAAAGTCATGCCTCCCCAACACCAGTCTCCTCCATGCCTTTTCCAACCTGGTATTCTAGGTGCTCCCCTTCTAGACTTTTTTTCTTTGCTTCAATTCAAATAAGCACCAACTTATGTACAAAGTCAGGAGCCCTGGTGGCACAGTAGTTAAATGCTTGGCTGCTAACCAAAAGGTTAGTGGTTCAAACCCACCAGCCACTGTGTGGGAGGACGATCTGACAGTGGGCTTCTGTAAAGATGACAGCCTTGGAAACACTACAGGGCAGTCCTACTCTGTCCCTCAGGGTTACTGTGAGGCAAAATCGACAAGAACAGATTTTTTTTGTTGGTTTATAAGCAAAGCACCTTTCTTCCCCTGAGCCCCTATGCTCAGTGTCTGCTCCCAGTATTCCTGAGAGGCTGAGAAGAGCAGCTGGTTCCTAGAGAAGGAAGCTGGGCAGGTAGCTGATGGGAAGCGAGCCTGTGCCCACACACTGGTGGGCACTTTCCTATGTAACCTCCGGGATGCGTCACAGCCCTCCTATGAGGCAGATTGTATCATCCCATTTCATAGGCAAAGAAACTGAGGCAGAGAGAGGTACAGTACCTTGCACAAGGTCACACAGAGCTAGAATATAAATCCAGGTCTGTCATCCATTCATTCAAAAAATATCCATCGAATGCTTACTGTGCTGCACTTGCTGAGTATTAGGGAGACAATGGAGGACAGGCAGGTGCTGTCCTTGTCCTGACAGGTTTATCATATTCTGGCCAAGGAGGGCAGACAATAGCCAGGTAAATACAGAGACACCATTCTAGATTGTGCAGCATATTCTGAAGGAAAGTGACAGGGTGAAATGACAGAGTGTAATGGGCCCCTGTTTTGATGAGGGCAGTCGCCGAAGGCCTCTGAGAACATGACATTTAGGCTGAGTCTTGACTGATAATAACATAATCATTAGCTAATAGTTACTGAATGCTTCCTGTGTGCCAGGCACTGTGCTAAGCAGTGTCTGTGGGCTGTCTCCTTTAATCTTTAGAGCCACTCCATGAGGTAGGGGCTGTTCCTCTGCCCATTTTACAAGACAGTTGTGTGAAGGCTGAGCTGCTACTGAAATCTATAGCCCATGTGCCCTGTGGCTGCCACCCCAAGGCCCAGTCTCTGGGCAGTCCTTTGAGGGGTGTAGCATGGGTGGGGAGGTGGGGGTGGGTTGAGATCAGCCCAGATGGAGGAAGCAATGACCTGGTCTCTCTTTCAGAGCATAAACGGGAGATCTATGACCGCTATGGCCGGGAAGGGCTGACGGGAGCAGGTAGGTGGAACACTGGGGCCCCAGGGGTGGAAGTGGGGGGAGGCAGTGGGGGAGGTCCCCTGGCACAGGGCAAGATGCACTCCCCACACCCCCTCCTCACTGTGCCTCTCCTTCTAGGAACTGGCCCATCTCAGGCGGAAGCTGGTGGCGGGCCTGGCTTCACCTTCACCTTCCGCAGCCCTGAGGAGGTCTTCAGAGAGTTCTTTGGGAGTGGAGACCCTTTTGCAGAGCTCTTTGGTGAGTAGACTTGGGAGACACCTGCCTGGTTCACCTTTCCCCTCCAGGCCTCTCCACCCCTCCGCTGGGAGGCCTTCAGACAGCAGGCTGGGATGTTGCATGCGATCGAGTCTGCCCTGACTCATGTCAGCCTTACCTGTAACGGGTCCTGTGTTACCGTCATGATCGTTGGCATGTTGAATCCACTCTTGTGGCTGTCGTGTCAGTTCCTTATGGAGGTGTTCCCTCATTTTTGCTGACCCCCTACCAAGCACGATACCCTTCTCTAACAATCAGTCCTTTCTGATGAGGTTGACAGGGAAGCTGAATTCCACAGTCAGAAAGATTTTGCAGGGGGTCGGTCCAGTGAGCACTGGGACAGAACCTTAGTCATGCCAGGACCCATATGACCCCAGAGTGACACGTCAGAGACCCGCCTTACTCAGTGGTAACAACAGTATTACATTGTTAGCCCTCCACAATGAACACTCGTGAGAGCAAGACTCAAAGCATCATGTGACCAATAACATTGCAGCAACAACAGACACCAGTTTTGGGAATGACTAATACATGCCAAGCATTTTATAGCCTTTGATGTCTAAAGAACCCTGGGAGGTGGATAATTTTGTTCCTATTTACAGAGGAGAAACTGAGGCACAAACAGGTAACTTGCTTAGAGACACACAGCAAATGGCAGAGCTGGGACTCAAAGCTGCGTCTTCTTGACTTCACATCCTGCTTCTCTGTCTCTATGCAGATGCCTGCTCTTTCCTTCATCCCCTTCTCTCACTTCCTTGGTATTTATTGTAGTCACAGTCTAGGTTTTCATAAACAATATTAAAAAAATAATTTAATTTGCAAATAAACAAGCCCCCCAAAATACATATATATATATATATATAATATACATATATATGTATATATATCCAGTGGCTTAAACAACGAACTTACTGCCATTGAGTCCATCCCAACTCTTATCGACCCCTCCTTGGGTTTCTGAGGCAGTATCTCAATGGAAGTAGATGCCCAACCTTCCTTCCGAGGAGTGGCTGGTGGGTTTGAACTGCCAGCCTTCTGGTTAGCAGTCAAATGCCTTAGGCACTACACCATGAGAGCTCCCGTTCAGTGGCTTAGCACTGCTATTTCTGGACTTAAAAGCAGAGTTTACACACTTTTTGGGGAAAACTGTACACCAAATGACTTCAATGTGCAACGTTTACTTGCAGATGACCTGGGCCCCTTCTCGGAGCTTCAGAGCCGGGGTTCCCGACACTCCAGCCCCTTCTTTACCTTCTCTACCTCCTTCCCTGGGCACTCTGGTAAGTGGTGTCTCTACACACTGTTGTGGGTTCAGGGTCCTGGAACCCCTGGCTCAGCAGCTGGTTCCTTTTGCAAGCCTTCTCTCCTGTGTATCGTGAGCCCCCAGAATTCCTTGGCCCTTTCTGACTGCAGTGCACAGCATACACCTTGGTCTAACCACCTCTTCTCCTCTGTTCCGACACCAGAGTTCTCCTCCTCATCTTTCTCCTTCAGTCCTGGCGCCGGTGCCTTTCGCTCTGTGTCTACATCCACCGCCTTCGTCCAAGGACGTCGCATCACCACACGCAGGTGAGGGCTCCAGAGGCTGGGGGTGAGGCGGTAAGCTGGAAGAGAAGTTTATGTACGACTGGAAGAGAAAGTCTTTGAGGCCAGGGCCCAGTCTCTCCTGTCCACTGCAGTGGCCTAGAGCCTGGCCCAGTGCCTTTGGGGTTCAGTAAATGAACTGTGTTGTCTCCCACAGGATCATGGAGAATGGGCAGGAACGTGTGGAAGTGGAGGAGGACGGGCAGCTGAAGTCAGTCACGATCAATGGTGAGAAGCTGCCCTCAGCAGGAACCCCAACTCCGGGCCGGAAGCTTGTCCCCAAACAGCTCCTTTCTGAACTCCTGTGGGGCGGTGAGGGTGAGGGGATAGCAGCCGAGGGATTGGCAGGATCTGAGATGGTGATCCTGGGCAGGGGGGCAGTGACGGGGAAGTGAGGAGTGTCTAGCAGGGCCGAGGACTCACCATCATCACCATGATGGTTAGTGGGGTGCCCTACATTTGCAAACACTGTACTATTTTTACAGCACTTGCACATGTACAAATCCCCGATTTTTGAAACATCCCAGGGGAATAAGCAGGGCAGGTGGTGTTGGCCCTGTTTTTCAATTGAGGAGACTGATCCTCAGCAAGCTTAAAGGTACCGTAAGTCACAAGGGAAGGGCCCTGGTGGCGCAGTGGTTAAGCACTTGGCTGCCAACCAAAAGGTTAGCAGTTTGGTCCCACCAGCCACTCTGCAGGAAAAAAAAACACAGCAGTCTGCTTCTGTGAAGATTACAGCCTTGGAAACCCTGTGTGGCAGTTCTTTTGTTAGGTGCCGTTGAGTTGGTTCCAACTCAGTGACCTAGTGTACAGCAGAGTGAAAGGTTGCCTGGCCCGGCACCATCTTCAGTTGTTGCTATTTGAGGCCATATTTTGCAGCCAGTGTGGGGTGGTGGTGTTGTTATGTGCCATCGAGTCATCTCCGACTCATAGCGACCTTGTATATACAATGGAACGAAACACTGCCCAGTCGTGTGCCAGCCTCATGATCCCTGCTGTAGCTGAGCCCATCACTGCAGCCACCATGTCAATGCATATTGCTGAGGGCCTTACCCTCTTTCGTTGACCCTCCGCCAGCGTATTAATGCATCCCGTTGAGAGTCTTCCTCTTTTTCACTGACCCCCTACCAAGCACGCTGTCCTTCTCCAAGGCTTGGTGCCTCCTGATAACATGTCCAAAGTACATAAGATGAAGTCTTACGCTGTCCTCCCTTCTAAGGAGCAGTCTGGCTTAGTTTTTTTTTTTGTTGTTGTTGTTTGTGTTTTGACTTTTATTGTGGTGAAAACATACACAAGACATTTGCCAACATACAACTTCCACATTTACAGCTCAGGGGCATTGATGCCATTTTTCATGTTGTGCCACCATTATTGCTATCCTGTTCCAAAATACCCATCACCGTTATCATAAACCCAGTGTCTGGCTTACTTCTTCCAAGACAGATTTGTTTGTTCTTCTGGGAGCCCATGGTCCAGTATTCTTCACTGACACCATAATTCAAATGCATCAGTTCTTCTTTGGTCTTTCTTGTTCATTGTCCAGCTTTTACATGCATATGAGGTAGTTGAAAATATAGTGGGGCTAGTTCTACCCTGTCCTATAGGGTAGCTATGAGTCAGAATCGGTTCCACAGCAATGGGTTTAACTCCCAAGTAACCCCAGGTGCAAGGGTCTTTCCTACCAGGTAAGGGACAAAGCCAGGAGTCAGACTCAGGAGAGATGGTTCTGAGAGCAGACCTCTTCCCACCACACTGCAGTATACGGGATCATCACCGCGGTTAACCCTTCACACCTGCTGGTTGTGAGGGCACTGGGTACTAATGCTAGTTAATCCTTGTAATGACTTGACTATGTAGGCACTGTCATCAGTCCCATCTCCCTGGTTGCTATAACTGATTTGCATTTGACTACTAACCCACCCAGTGGATCTGCTTCCATGAAGACTGTTGTTAGTTGCCTCTGATTCTGCTCTGACTCCCGGCAACTCCACGTGTGCACAGTACCACTGGGTTTCCAAGGCTGCGACCTGTGGGAAGCAGGTCCCCAGGCCTGTCTTCTAGGCACCACTGGGTGAGTTCAAACCACCTGCCTTTTGGCTGGTAGTTGAGTGCTTACTGCTTGCACCAACCGAGGACTCCTCCATAAAGACTGTCACTCTGTAACAGTTGGGTCACCGTACGTTAAAATCACTTTGAGAGCAACGTTTTAAAATTTTTTTTAAACACATTTTTTCCCATTTTATAGCTGAGGAAAGGGCGGCTTAGGGAGGCTGAGTAACTTGCCCAAGGAGACAGAGGTAGGATTGGTGGAGATGAACACCCGCCCGCGTGCATCACCACTACCCTGAAACATATGCGTGCCAATTCCGAAGAGCTGTAAGAGGCCAGATTGTTACTGCGTGAGGCGCCTGGTAGGTGCCCCTGCCTGGGACAGGGGTCCTCAAAGTAGCCATGCCTTCTGCAGGTGTCCCAGATGACCTGGCACTGGGCTTGGAGCTGAGCCGTCGCGAGCAGCAACAGTCGGTCACCTCCAGGTCTGGGGGCACACAGGTCCGGCAGACACCCGTCCCACGTCCCTCTGACAGCGACTTCTCTGATGATGAGGACCTGCAGCTGGCCATGGCCTACAGCCTTTCAGAGATGGAGGCAGCTGGGAAGAAACCAGCAGGTGGGCGGGGGGTGCAGCGACGACGGCAGGGGCGGCCCAAGGCCCAGCACCAAGATCCGGGCATGGGGGGTACCCAGGAGGGCACAAAGAATGAGGCTGCCAGGCCCAGCCCAGCCCAGGAGGAGAAGGCCTCTCGCTGCCTCATCCTCTGAACGCCAGGTCCAGCCTAACCTGGTTCTAGTCTTGACTGGGGTTGTCTCACTGTCAGGGAGCAGAGAGGGGTGTGGCTTGAGTTGCAGAAGCCCTTCTCCAAACCCACGCTCCCACCACCCGTTTCCCTGCCAGGCCCACCCTAATGCCAGTGTGGACTCAGGATTCTGTGCTCAGCCCAGGGCTCATAGGTCCCTGGTTGAAGCCCAGGGGGTTGCCTCATGGCAGGGGAGGGCCTGAGAGCCAGGATGCACTTAAACGGGAAGCTTCCTAGGGGCGTTTGTGGTTTGGGTTGGCCCTGTGGTGACCAGGCCCCCAGCTGCCTTGCTGCTGACAGACGTCCAGGAAGGAGAGCTTGGCCAGGGTGCTCTGAGCCTGAGTTGGCAGCCATGCCGGGGAGCAGTGTGGGCTGAGGGGAGTCTCTGCTCCTTGTCCAGCCGCAGACGCCCCCACCCTGGTCTCTGTGCAGTGCTGACTGGTTCTGTTCCTTCCCTTCTGGGGCTGCTGCTGCGTCTCGGCCTTCTCTCCAACTCCCTGCCAGCTACATCGCTTGCTTTCACTGTCTTCTGGCTAGGACTCCCTCCTCCTTCCTTTCCCGAGAAGGCCTCAGTGTGGCGAGGAAGATGCTGGGGCTGGTAGGGTCGTGAGCTCTTCTGGGGAGGCTAGCTGGGTGGGGCGGGAGCCTCTTGGCCATACAGATTTGGAACTGAAGTCCACCCCTCCTCCCTTCCGCCACCCGCCTCCACCTGCCCCCAGCCCTGGAACTAGGCAGAGGTGAAGCTGGCTGCCCCCGAGGGGTGGAGAGGTGACACCCAGGAGGGGGGCTTAGGAGATGGATTAGTTACCCATACTACAGGCCCCGCCAGGGTTCAGGGAGAGGCCTCAGGGCAGGGCAAGCCCAGGCCTGCATGCTCGGCTCCACCTCCACGGCTTGCCGCTGACCCTCTCTCCTGTCACCCGTCCCCCGCTCTCTCCCCAGATGTGTTCTGAGCTGGATGTCCTGGATCCAGAGTCGCTGCACAGTTCCAACGGGACAGCGCCACCCCCGTGCGCTGGGAGGGGATCCTCATTCCTCTCCCTCCGTCTCCCCAGAGCCTAGAATCTGGGGCCTGGGTGGTGGGCGGGGCCTGGGTGGGAGGAGGTGCGTCAGTAGTCTTAGCCTGTAAACTGTTCCCTGGGTGTCTGGTGCTGTCTCTAGGGGACTGTAAGTCCCTGAATGCAACGCACCCAGCCTTAATTCTGATAGCCCTGCTTGGGGGAAGCGGTGCGTGTTGTGGAGCTGTGCATCTTGGGATATGTAGTTCCGGCCCAAGTCAGCCTGTCATTGGTTGTGAGATGGGGCAATCTTGTCAGGTGGTTCTTCCTTGGAGGGGGTGGCGAGAATGTGGATCAAGCGGTAATAGGCCAAGTCTGGTTCCCATGACAACTGTTAGCCCAGCGTTTAAAGAGTGTATAAGTTAAAGCCCTAGGGACCTGGTAGGGTGTCCTCTCCCGTGGGCAGTCGATGTTCTGAGGAACAGGCCGGCCCGGCAGGACCGACGGAACTGGGCATGGCCCCAGAAGGCGACGGGCCAAAGCTGGCAGAGCCGCCGAGGGTGTGCACAGGGCGTCGTGCGCTGGGGAGCTCCGGGCATGTTGCTGCTTGTATGGCTTTCTCTGGCCTCTGACCCCGCTGCCCATTCTTTCTCTCCACTACCACAGACGAGCCGCCTCCCCTCCCGGCCTCGGGAAACCAGGGGCCAGGGAGGGGAGAAGTGGACCCAGGGTCGCCAGCCCCTGTAACATTTAGCCTGAGACCTATCGAAGCCAGGGCTGAGCGCAGACCGAGGGGAAAACACTGGAAGTCAATAAAAATGAGTCTGAGAGCGCGGTGGTGCGCTGTGCTCTTTCCTGGGTGACCCGGGAGGGCCCCGTGCGACAGTGCGCAGCACTGCAGGCTGTACGCCGCCGCTTCCCAGCTAGAGGACAGCCCTTCCCAGTGAAGGGCAGGAAGGCTCGGCTCTTTTATATCAGGTGCCCTCACCAAGTATGTTGCAAAATCTTGAGCAAAGCTTACATGCTTCTGCCCTTAACTCCTGGGCTTTCCCCAGCCCTGCGCAGGGACTCACCACTCAATACGCCTTAGCACAGCTAGGGCCAGACTGAGCCAAGACTTGACTGGAGGCATGGGGACAGCAGGAAGTGGATGCGATGTGGTGGAAACCTTTGACGAAGTACACTCCTAAGGTCCATAGGAGGAGCCTTGGTGGCATAATGGTTAAAGCGCTTGGCTGCTAACCAAGAGGTCGGCTGTTGGAATTCAGCTATTCCGTGGGTTGAAAGATGTGGCAGTCTGCTTCTGTAAAGATTGTGGTTATGTGCCCTCAAGTCGGACCTGACTCATAGTGACCCCTTCTTGGGTTCCCAAAGCAGTATCACTATGGAAGTACACTGCCCAACCTTCCTTCCTTCCGAGGAGTGACTGGTGGGTTTGAACCGCCAGCCTTCTGGTTAGCAGTCAACTGCCTTAGGCACTACACTACCAGAGCTCTCCCCAGAGCTCCCAATTACAGCCTTGGGAACTCTATGGTGCAGCTCTACTTTGCCCTAGGATCTCTAAGTCAGAACTGACTCCACAGCACTGTGTTTGGTTTTGGATTTGCTTTTGGTTTTAAGGTCCAGAGACAGAGCCCCTGCGCAGGTTGCCTTCTGAGAACCAGTGGCAAGTTTCAGAGGCCTGGCTTCCCCACCTGGAGTGGCACAAACAGCCCACCCAGGGTCCAGGCCCCAAGTTCATCAAAGCTCAGGAAGGACAAGGCCAGGGCCCCCAACCCCCATATCTCCTGCAGAGGTGCCCTTCCCCCCACAGGAAAACAAAGCGGCAGACTGCTCTGAAACAGGAATTCACATCTCTAACTCTGGACTAGAGAATGTGCTGGAAGTTTGTAAAATGGCTGTTTTCCCCACTTGCAGCCTTTGAGAATAAACACTTGGAGTTAAGTCTCAGCAGAGCCCGGGTGACACAGCAGGAGGGGCCGATGGTGTTGGAAGCTTCTCCTTCACTCCCTGCTCAGGGTAGATGGTACTGGCCTTATTTTCCATTTGAGGAGACTCCCCAGTGGCCTCAGGCCCAAGGCTCTTTGTGCTCCATTTCTACACCTACCACCTTTGTCTAAGGTGAGAGCTGCTCCTGAGATCCTACAGGATGGAAAGTTCTGGAAGCTGAGGGTGGGAGAGAAGGGGAGAACACCTGTTCTGACATCTCACAGGCTGGGCCTACAGAGGTTTGCTACAGAGAGGCTTCCAGTAACGGGGTAAAATGGCAGCGGGGGCTGAAGGAGGCCACAGCTGATTGGGAGGGGCATGGTCTCCTGGCCTCATGTCTGACGGCTACAGCCTCACCAAGCACCTTGGCTTGTATCACCTCATTCAGTCCTAACCTCAGTCCTGCGTGACACACAGTCTTCCTGGCGCCCAAGGGTACACAGCAGCTGCCCAGAAACTGTGAGGAGAGGCCTGGAGCAAAGCAGTTAAGCCCAACAGGCTCTGAATCCTAGCTCCACCACTCACAAGTCACACCATTTTGGGCAAGCTGCTCCTCGCTTCAGTCCCACAGTTTCTTCATCTGTAAAACGGGGCTAATAATAGTATCCACATGGTAGTGCTGTGAAGATTAAACCATAGACATAAAGCACTATGGAGACTGCCTGCCACACAAGAAACCCCTCATAAAAATACCACCACCTGGCTGTGATTATCCTATTCCATCCTAAACTCCAGACAGAGGCTGGGCTGCAGTCTGGAAGCAAAGCAGACAGAAACGCTTAGGAGTCCGGGTTGCAGCTGCACAGACAACACACTAACTTTATTCACACTGATACAAAAGTAGATTTTTCTAGAAATGTTCCCTAATGCCAGAAGGAGGGAGGTTGAATGGCATATGGTGGGAGGAAGCCTGAGGGTGGAGGCCGGAAGGGCAGGGAGCAGCCTGAAGGTTCAGAGGCAGGAAAGAGCTCAGCGGGGCTGGGGAAGCCAGGAGCTAAGGTCTGGCGCCGCTCCACCCCGGTCCTGCCCACCCCACCGGAGGAGGGAGCACACAGAGACTCCAGAAGCACAGGGGGCAGTGACCAGGGAACACAGGCGGGGAAAAGGCTGTGCGTACAATTGCTGCCATGTTCTTGGTCTCCACCCAGCGGCCCAGCTGCCAGCTCCCCCATGAGATGCCTTGGGCTCCACCCCCTTCTGCCTCTCCTACCTTCAGCACACTTCATTGAAGGGCTGGCATGCCCAAGAGGTTTAGGGTGGCAGACAGGGGTGTCGGAGTGGGTACACAGAGCTCACACATGGCACAGGGGGTGGAGGCTGGGCTGCCCACCGAGGGCTCAGGGAGCTCACTGGGGCAGGGCTTTGAGGATGGCATTTACTTCCTCTGCCACGGCAGTCAGGGCAAATTCAAACTGGTCCTGGGGAAAGGCAGTAGGAGGAGGGTCAGGGGGAAGCCCGTCTCTGCTCCAGCCCCCAAAAGACATAGGAGATGGGGGCTGAGAAGGTCCCCTGGGAAGATGGGGAGTCCTCTGGGGGGCACTGTGTCAGCAGACAGGAGGCAGCCTGCTGCTGGTGTCCCCATGGTGGCTGAGAAGTGGGTGCTGGGAGGGGGGTAGTCAGGGCAGGAAGACAGGGTCACCTTGGAACGGACGAGGCCGGGCCGCTGGTCACGGACATGCTCCAGGGTGGCAGCAATGTCAATCTCCTTTACTCCTGGAGGTGGAGGCAGAAAGCTGCTCAGGGGGTCCCAGGGAGGAGTGGCAGCCTGGCTCTCAAGAGCTCTCATGGCCCTGGTGCTTACCTTTCGCCATGCGGTTCAGTACCATATCAATGAGGATGTATGTGCCAGTCCTCCCTGCACCGTCACTGAAACACGAGATGGGATGGGCTCAGGACCCAGTAGTGAGGGGGAAGGATAGAGGAGACAAGGAGGGTCTGGAGGAGGAGGGAGCATTTGTGAATGTGCTGGGGTTGGCTT